GGCCGACGCTGACATCAACAAAGCCCTGGAGGACGGCGCCACGCCGCTGTACGTCGCGTGCGAGAAGGGCCACCTCGAGTGCGCCCGGCTGCTGCGCGGCGCTGGCGCTGACATCAACCAAGCCGATGAGGAGGGCGCCACGCCGCTGTTCGCGGCGTGCCAGGAGGGCCGCCTCGAGTGCGTCCAGCTGCTGCGCGACGCTGGCGCTGACATCAACCAAGCGATGAACGGGTGCCAGAACAACCACCCCGAGATCGCCCGGCTGCTCCTCGAGGCTGGCGCGGCGATCAACCAAGCCAAGCAGAGCGGCGCCACGCCGCTGATCATGGCATGCTTCAACGGCCACGTTGAGAGCGCCCGGCTGCTTCTCGAGGCCGGCGCGGCGATCGACCAGGCCGATGAGCAAGGCGCCACGCCGCTGTTCGCGGCGTGCCAGGACGGCCACCTCGAGGTCGCCAAGCTCCTCTCCTCCTACGGCGCCTCCCGCGCCGCTACGCCCTTCGGCACGCCCGAGGAGGCCGCAAACAGCCAAGGCCACACCGACCTCGCCGCCTGGCTGGACGCCAGCCGCGGCTGGACGCCGCTCGCGCACCTTGAGACCCTCACCGCCGCCCGCGCCACCTCCCTTCTGCGCAGCGGCGCAAGCTTGCACGAGGGCGAGCCGACGCCGCTGCAGCGCGCCGCGGGCGGCGAGGGCGAGGCGGCGGCGCTGATCCGGCGGGCGGCGGCGCCGTGGTCGCCGGCAAGCCACTCGCTCTTCCCCGCGGCGGCTCGCGCGCGGGCGGCGCTCCTCGTTCTCTCGCTCTACGAGATCCACGAGCGGTACCACCTCGACTCGGCTGGAGCCACGAACGGCATCGCGGCGCTCGACTTTGGTCACTGCGTCTTGGGCTTCGCCATCACGCGCGAGACGGAGTAGGGGCGTTTCGCCACCCTCTCCCTTGGCACGCGCCAGGCGAGGCTAGGCGACGCGAGCCATGTGAGCCAGCGGCTGTGTGGGAGAGAAGAACGGATTCTCGTACATGGAGTGCGATGTAGTCGACTGTTGCGATCTCAATCTGTCCCTGGCCTTCGCGTCTCTCGAGTGAGCTTTTGGGATACTCGCCTCCGTTTTGCCGGCAAAACGTTGGGGCACGTCGACGGTCCGATCCCGCGTTTTGCTTCGTTGTTCGTGCGCGGTTCCGCCCGTCGCTCGGCGCCGCTCGGCCGCTGCGCCTGCGGTTGCCGCCGCATGCGCCGGCTCGTTCGCGTCGCTTGTGTTCACTCTTAACGTTTTTCGTGTGTCTCGGGTCTGTATGTGTCGCTAAAGCCGTAGCCGCCCGTAAAAAAAACTAAAAAGAAAAAGGAACGCCTCTCGTCAGGGGCGGGGAACCCGCAATTTGAGATGCTGAGGGCATTTTGAGTTGCAAAAAATCAATTTAGATTGCATTTTTCAATTCAGAATGCCGAGTTGACTTTTCGCATTTCAAGATGCACACCGCATTCCAAAGATGGTCCACGCATTCCAGGATGCGTCGACCATCCTGGAATGCGAACTGCATTCGTGAATGCGCTAGCATCTGGAGTTACCCCTTTGCATTCTAGGATGCTCCTTGCTATTTCAAGTTGCCTTCCTTAACCTGATATGCCCAGCATTTTGGCCAATGCCGCATGTCGGCGGGGCATCGGGTAGGCTGCGGCTCGGCCTGCGCCTCGGCAGTCGTTGCCGCTGCGCAGCTGGATATGGTGGCGCACGTGGCGTGGCCTGTCGTTTGCATGTTTTGCGGTGGCAGCCCATAACCGCACGAATTGTGCATGGCCCTCAGCAATCCGTGTTCGATCGGCAACGCCCGTGCCGCTGCTCTGTCTCGTTAGAATAGGCAATGAAAAACGGCGCCCGCTCTCGTCGCATGTGCGCCGGTTGACATATCATGTATGTGGCTCTTTTATGGATAACAAGGAGTCTCGTTTTCAACTTTTTCTTCTTGTATATGAGCCCGCAGCCCGCGGCTTCCTCGCGCGTTTCGCGCTCCTTAACGGTCTCTCTCTCGCCAGCCCTCAACTGTTCAGTAGAATTTGCTGCAACTGGGCAGATTCATGTGGTATCATGCTGTCCTCATCAGGTGTCTGTGCCGCAGCGTAGGCGAGACTCTAATCTCTATGCCTCGGCACCCCATCGAGGCAGCTCGCGAGGTGAAGCTTGCCAGCAAGGGTATTGTTGCCTACACCAGCAGGCAAGGGAGCACTATGGTGTGAGCCTGCCAGCACAGGTGCGCAAGCCAGATCAGTACAGTCGTACCGGGCAGCAATGAAGCGCGTTGGGTGCCCGCGCCGGATGCAGTGCTAACGCGGCAAAGCTTGGGCCGCATCAGCAGATGCGTGAGGCGGTGCGGAAACCGTTGTTTCAAGGCTACCTGGTAGGCTCACTCCTTCCCATCCCAGAGGTAGAGGGCAAGGAAGGTAGTCGAGCAGGAGGGCGCCCAGGCCGGAGCCGGTGCCGCCGCCGATGGCGTTGAAGGCGAAGAAGCCCTGCAGGCCGGTGCAGTTGTCGGCCAGCTTGCGGATGCGATCGAGGACCAGGTCGACGATCTCCTTGCCGACGGTGTAGTGGCCACGGGCGTAGTTGTTGGCCGCGTCCTCCTTGCCCGAGATGAGCTGCTCCGGGTGATAGAGCTGGCGGTACGTGCCCGTGCGAACCTCGTCTGTTGGGGGAGAGGAGGCGGAGGGGCTTCTCAGCTCAAGCCGCGCGGGTATGTTTTTGCTCTGTTTCCGCATAGCTGCCATCTGAATCCGATTAGCGCGCATTGGCGGGGGAGGGGCGGGACGCGCCGATGACGGTCGGCTCGAGGTCGATGAAGACGGTGCGCGGCACGTGCTTGCCCGAGCCAGTCTCGGAGAAGAAGGTGTTGAACGCATCGTCGCCGCCTCCAATGGTCTTGTCGGAGGGCATCTGGCCGTCGGGCTGGATTCCGTGCTCGAGGCAGAAGAGCTGCGCATTGGGGGTGTGGGGCAAGTTTGAGGGTTTGTGTGTTGCCCCAACTCGAGTACGGATGGCGCTACCTCCCAGCAGGCGTTGCCGGTCTGGACGCCGGCCTGGCCGAGGTGGATGGTGATGCACTCGCGCTGCGACACGAGGGCGCGCAGACGTGAGCCGCGGCGCGCAGGGCTGTGGCATGGCGCGCGGCGCTGAGAGGCGCGTGAGGGGCAGGCGGCGTCGCCGCAGCACTGGGGGCGCGGCGATCGGGCTGGCGGGCGGGTGGGGCGCGCGCGGGCGCGGCTGCGGCGCGCGCCATGGTTGGTTGTGTGGTTGGGGCGAACGGCTTGAACGAAGGTGTAACGGCAGGGCCCCGCCACAAGCAGCCTGGTTCCGAGCCGCTACAAGAGTGCCCGAATTCACTGTGAAGAGGGTATCGCGGTTACGTCATACGTGCCCTTCTTTCGCCTTTTACTAAAGAAGGCCGTGGCGCAACTGCCTAACGACCTCTTTCACTATTTTGCTACCTAAATTTGTCCATGAACTCCTCAATCGTCATAATTTCCAGCGACCAAATACTAATGGGGGCTTCGTCGTGTGCGGGCTTTTTCTCAGGCGTGGCCGACCAGGATCTAACCTCTTCTACCGAACGCGGCGGCAAGACGTGTCACATACCCCTGCTCGTGGAACTGCGTGAGCGGTCCCCGCGAACCCAACACAACGCGCGTATAATTTGACGCGCACATACCTCGAGCCCATGGGCATGGCATGCGCCGGTCCCTGCAGTGCTGTGCATTGGACTCAATCCGCGTGGCGCACGCAATCAGGACGCAGCAGCCATGTGCAAGAGCCGGCACAGACGCGGTGGCGGTCCACCAAGTCTTGTTAGGTGCGCGCGACCAGAGATCTTATAGAAGTTAGAACCACTCCCTCCCCGCTGTGTCGTGTGTGTGTGGTGTGGCAGCTCGGCGCCGTGATGCGTGAAGCGTGAACGTTCCTCTTTCGTCTACACGCTGCCGTACATGTATGCACAGTCCACACACAGTGACACACCCTCCAATATATACCAAGCACAAAAATACGCTCACCTCACCAAGGCGCGGGCTGCAATCCGTCGCCGTAGTTGGTGTGCACAAAGCTGCCCGTGTTGCTGAGCTCGAGAGCATCGATCGCCTCGACGATGCCTCGCACCGACGGCGTGACTGGCTTGGCGCCGACCTTCATCTTGTGCTCCGGCGACATGCCGCCGAAATGGGTCGCCACGAAGCCGGGCGAGATTGCGACCACGGCGATGCCTTGCGGTTTGAGGTCGTTGGCCAACGACTTGGACACCATGTTGACCGCGGCCTTGGATGTGCGGTACGCGTACATGCCGCCGCTGCTGTTGTCTGCGATCGAGCCTATCATCGACGAGATTACGACGAGCTTGCCTCCCGGCGCCGACAGCTGCGGCAGCAGCGCTTGCGTGACGCGCAGCACGCTCAGCGTGTTGAGCTCGAAGCCGCGGCGCATCGCGTCCATGCAGATGGTGTCGAGCTTCTGCTCGGCACGAGACGCAGCGAAGCCGCCCGCGTTGTGCACGATGCAGTCCAGCTTGACGCCTGCGAGCGCCGCCTTCAGCGTCTCGCCGACCGAGTCGCTGGTGACATCGACGCCCTGCACGAGGACGACATCTCCTGCCACCTGGCTGAGCTCATCGACGCCGCTGGCTGAGGCGGCGGGCGTGCGGCACGTGGCGTACACGCGGTCGCCTCGTGCGGCGAGCTGCCTCACAAGCTCGAGACCGAGGCCGGCAGAGCAGCCCGTGACGAGGTAGGTCTTCTTCGCCGGCTCCGCGCGCGGGAGGCTGAGCGCGGCGGAGGCGGCGGCGAGGCCGGCGCCGGCGCCGGCGAGCATCCAGCGACGCAGCATGTGTGGGCGGAGCGAAGACCTGCGGCTGTGCGAAGACCCGCGCTGTGGCTGTGCCCTGCAGAAAGAAAGAAAGAAAACACACCGGGAACTATGGGAGAACGGCACGCCGCCACCACACAGGGATTTTAAGGAGAGGAGGGTGTGATGCGCTAGCCGTCGCCCACCCTGGGGAGTCTGCCTCCTCGTATCTCTTTTCGCAGTCTCTCGCCGCTTCTCGCTGCAACCTTCAGAGAGAGATTTTTAGCAATACCTTTATGTGATGTTACAGGTGGGTTAAGAGGGAGATGTGCGCGAGCTGCGGGACCGCCGGGACGGCGGGCGGGTAATTGCGACACGCCGCCACTTTTGGCGACTTTTGGGACGCGCGTCGATCGGCCGAGATTCGGCATCGCGTTCCGAGTCGTGGGGGTAGAAGAATTCGAGTAGAAATCGAGTCAGCACATCCTTGTAGTACAGCGGACCGCCAGGCTCGCCGGCAGCATCCGCAGGGAGGCAGCATATGAGGCACCAGTTTTCTGGAGAGCTCAACAGCTGCGGCCGCGATGGCGGAGTCGGCCGCGGTTCGCCGCCAGTGGCTGCTGCGAGCATCGGGGCGGCGCGCATAGCCAGTACAGGCCACCAGAGAAGAAGAAGAGCGCCGCACAGACGGCAACGCGCGAGCAGCGGCCGGTCGTCATGCCAATGTCAACGTCTGAGCAGTCAGTCTACAGCACACACACACACATCGCCTTGCCGACGATGGGACCACTGACCAGACCAGAGGGTTCGGGCTCCTGGGTCGAACAGGGGATTCGTTGATTAAGAAGAGATTCTCCCATCTCCAATGAAAATTGCTGTGTGTGTAGACCGTCCTTTCTTTTTTTCCACACGTGCAATCCGCGGTCCCCCAAGAGCGCCTACATTGAAGTCATCATGAAGGAGTGCTGCGATTTCCTCGTCCCGCGAAAGAAGGAGGTCACGTACACACTTGACATCGAAAATCCGGCCTGGGTCCCGCTGGGGGTCGGTGAGCAAGCGCCATAGAGGAGCGCGATTTGCCGAACAAAACCCACCCTGCGCCTGCTGCGCTCGCCGCTTCCGCAGGCGGCATCATGACCTACGTCTGGTATGGCCTCCTTTCGATCCCGTTTCTCGGCAACCTTCTCAGTTCGATCTACACCTTCATCCTCAGCGTTTTTGGGCTCAAACCGAAGGAGGCCGTTGGCTCGAGCCCGCCGCTCGACTACACGCTGCCGCTCTACTTTTTCCCCCTCTCCGACCAAGCCCTCCTCCTGGGATTCCTTCCTCTTGGATGGCTCTGGATCGGCCTCATCAAGATCAGCTTCGGCGCCTTTGAGCCTATCTACTCGCTCATCCTCGGCCTCTGGTTTGGCGCGTGACGCTCCCCTCGCCCCGCCCACCAGCGTATCCGCCCCTTCCCCCCGACACCATGAACCCTCCCCTACGGCGCCCCCTCTACTCGTCTGTCTTCTCTCTAACGCGTCAGGCCTAAGCAAGGAACAAGGGATGACCGAGGCAGAGGAGCTTGCGGTGGCCGCCGCGCAGGCCAAGGCCCCGCTCGTGTGAGCCGCCCCGGTGGCCTCCCACCCCGCGTGAGTAGTGCCGGGCCGCTATGACTGAATCCTCTGCATGGAGTATGTTTGAGTTGACGGCTGCGGGGACAAGAGAAGGCGCGTGACGAGCTGTGTGGAGAGGCGCCGACCGAGTCAGAGAGAGGTGAGAGGGACAGGGAGCGAGCGGCAGAGCGGGGGGGCAGTCAAGGCACAGAGCGGGGCCGCGCCAAGCGAAACGTGCCTCGTTTGACAGCGTTAGGATTCGACGAGGCGTGGGCGAGTGAGCGTTGATATGTTGAGATCTATCTGGGCATGTCAGTGCCTCCATAAATAAACGGACACCTAAATGAACAGGTCCCCGCTAGTCGCCGACCACACCCACAAAGAACCCTTGCACAAAAAGACCGCAGGGCGGGGACCTGTTCCTTTTTACCCATCTCCTAGTAGAGGTGTCCGTTTTATTTATTTATTTACAGGTCCCCGCCCGTGCGATCTTTCGCTCTCCAAGCTGCATTCCCGCCTCGACGCCATATCCACCAAGTTCGCCAGGGCGAATGGGCGAGCGAGGACCGGCGCCCTCCCTGACAACGGCGTGTCGCTCGCTGATACGGCCGCGGAGCAGCTGGAGGCGGAGATGAAGGAGGCGCTCGCCCTCCACCACGCGCTAGTCAGGGAGGCGCTCACCAGCGTGGCGGGCGTTAACCGCTGCCAGCGCATCGCCGAGCGCATCACCGCGCTTGCCCACCTTCTGCTGAGCGCGCTGCTGCGGATCTTCCCTGATGTCACCGTCCTGTGCATGCTCGTTCGGCGTTCGCGCCCCTCCCTACCACCTCGCCATCCGATGGGCCCGCTGCGGGCGTGCACTCGGGCACTGGGTTATCTCTTTTTTTGTCTTTTTCGCTTCCTCGAGTCGACACACACATCAGGAAGTAACATGCGAGCCTGAGCAGGCTTGCTCCACCTCTAGCGATCTCGCCGGCCGGCGAGGCACGGACGAGACCGTGTGTGGGGTCTAGTGAGGTGTCTATGGACGCCCTCCTCACAGGCTAGCTGCCTACTGCTAGCCCCCATCTCGCACTCACGGGTGTTTGTAAAAGTGCTGCGCTTCTCAAAGCCGCCATCTCTCTCTCGATCTCGCCGAAGCTCTGTGGACTGTGCTTCCGGGCAATGGCCGTGCTCGCGCTCCACTGCTCGCTCCTCGCCTTCTCTTCCCCGATCGTGGCGCCGCCGCTGCCGCAGCTCGCCTGCTCGCGCCTCCGAGCTCCTCTCTGCGGGCCGTTTGCCGCTCCGCCGGCCGCGCCGAGTCCACCGCGTGTCACCATCTTTTCGCTCGAGACTTGTGACCCTTGCAAGGTGACTCCCAACGCCGGCGCGGCCAAATCACACTGCTGTTGGTCGCGCTGCGGACATCACACCGCTCGGACCGCAGCCGCGCTCCCACTACCGCCACCGCCGCCGCCGGCAGGCCGCAAAACGGCTCTTCGAGATGCTTGGGTGGGAGTACACCGAGATCTCCGTCACGCACCATCCCGAGCGGCTCGACGATGTGCGGCAGCTGGTGCCTCCCGGCGTCACGTCGATGCCGCAGGTGCCCGTCGTTGCCTCACGCCCCCACCCCTTCCCTGCTCCGCGCTCTCCTCGAACCGTGAGCGCGTCTGCTCGCAGATTTTCTTTGGGGACCACCACGTCGGAGGCGGCTCCGACCTCGCCGCCCTGATCATGGCCAACGAGCACCTCGCCCTGTACGAGGCGGCCGCGCCCTTCCAGACCCCACCACCGCCCTCTCTCTCTCTCTCTCTCTCTCTCTCTCTCTCTCTCTCTCGTTCCATGCCCGCATTTCTGTTTTAGGCGGCCGCGCCGTCCACCGACCCACGGAAGCGGCCTGTTCGCCATGAGGAGTGGAGCCGCGGCGCCGTCGTGCCGACCGGAGGAGCCGAGGCGGCGGCGGCGGCGGCGGCGATCCCACAGGTGCCGGCCGCACGCTCTTGCAGCGCACACGCGGTGGGGAGAGAAGGGGGTTCACCGTACGAGAGAAAGTCGGCCCATATCTCGCCATATCTCGCCATATCTCGCGCCTTGTACGAGAGGAAGCCGGCCCATATCTCCCCATATCTCGCCATATCTCGCGCCTTGGGTGGATGGGCTGACTATGCGCATGCACATGCACATGCACATGAGGAAGGTCGACTGGCGTGCCTCTTACCGCTCGCTCTACTGCCCCCTAGGTGCCGACCGTGCATCCGGTGCCAGCGCTGGCGAGGGGGGTCGCCGGCCACTTCTTGTGAGCATGCGACGTGCGCTCCATGGAGCGTGCTGGGTGGACGGGCGCCGAGAACGCGAGAAGAGGGGGAGATCTGAGTCGAGGTGTGTTCGCGCGAGATATTGTGTGCAGCTCCATGATTCACATCAGGTACGTGTTTTAAGAAAGCGGCTTCCCAGGCGCGTCAACCGTCAAGCAGCGAACTGCGTCGAGATAAAGTACAGTATGTGTTGCTCGCCGGCGCAGCTCGACAGACACGACACGCAGCACACACAGAGACAGACAGCCATTTCGCGCGCGCCCGCGCAGTGATACATATCGACAGCGGCGACCCAGCGACCCACGCCGCCTCGCCGCGCGCCCGCTACCTGATCACTCACGAGGGCGGCGAGATGGAGCTTCCCGCTGGCACGGCCTTGCGCAAGCTCAGCCCGTGCAGTCGTGACTTGCGCAGCGCCGCTCGAAGGCCGATCAGCAGCATCCCGAGCGCGCAGACCCCGCCGAGGACTGACCCAATCAGCACGGAAGGCGGCACGCGGCGGCGGCGGGGTGGCGGCGTCAGCTCCGGCGTGACGAGCACGCGGACGGCCAAAAAGGTGGACGCCGCCTCAAGGGAGGACAGCACCTCGGACAACCTGGTTTCGATGCGGGTCACAGCCTGGCAAGGAGGGGGCGTGAGGGGAGGGCGAGGGCGAGGGCGAGGGGCGAGGGGCGAGGGGCGAGGGGCGAGGCGCAAGGTGCGAGGGCGAGGGCAGAGGGCGAGCCTCGTCCGAGCCGGCCTCGAGCTGGATGCTGACGTTGGCGAGGGCGGTGTTCTCAAAGCCGCGACCGTCGGGCTCGAGCCGGCGGCGGGTCGCGGCGGCGGAGCACCACGCGTCGCACCGCGAGGCGCTGACCCCCGCCCTGGCGGCGACGGTGCGGCACGTGGCATCGAGGAAGGCGTCGCCACACGACTGAGGCGAGATGGCCGCCTGGAAGGTGATGAGCACGCAGGGCTGGCCCTCAATGGGGCATGAGCGTCGCGGAGAGGGTGACGAAGCCGGGCAGCCGTGCGTCACTGCGCCCATCATGCACTTGTACTTGGTGTCCGGCTGCTTCCCGTAGACACACAGTGCGCAGCCAGAGCTGCAGTCGGCAGCGTATGACCCCGCCGGCGGGACCTCCACGGGGTCGATGTACCAGCCCTCACACTCCTGGCGGTCCGTCTCGCTAAACCGGTCCGTCCCTTTCCATCCGATCTGGGCACCGCACCACTCGTGCCCAAGCTTTCCGGTGAGCCGCTCGCGGCCTAGCGCTGCAAAGCCCCCGGAGGCGCATGCCTCTGGCTCGCCGCTCGTGGCGATCGCGGGCCTAGAAGGCCCGCGCGCAGGGGGGTGGGACGTTGAGACCGGTCATGAATGAATGAATGAGTGCGCGACACGCATGTTGCGAGCAGCGTTGTTGATGTTTTGCGCATCGCCACAGACGGCGGCGCGAGAGAGCTGTTGCGAGTGGTGCTGGGCGAAGCCCCGGGCGCTGGCCGCTGCCGGAGGCTGTGCCGTAGTCGGTGCGGTCGACGGCGCTCGGGTTGCCGACCTCTTTGGCGAAGTTGAAGATGGTTCTCTTGGTTGGCGGCGCGCGCGGCGCGCGATGCCGCCCTGGCTTTCGAGATTTTGACGATTCCGTTCTTGACAAAAAGAGGGAGCAGAATCCAGAAAAGGCGGCAAAGGACTCGAAAATCTGGAAAAAAGAATTTTAGCACGCCAAAAAAAGAATTTCGAAAAGCGAGTCGCGCCGGACAGATCTCGAGCAAATGGAGCGAGAGGCAGCGTCCGACGACAAGTGAGTCCAGCAATTGTGAGCTAACTACATGTGAACGACACTGGACTTGCGCTCAAGCAAGGGGTCGCCATCATCGTCGGCGACGGCGACGCTCGAAAGCTCAGCGGACTTGGCGGGGCAGCAGAGTAGCGGGAGGACGAGCACCGCCGCAGAAAGCCACGCGTCGACGGCGAGGTACCAACCGCCCACCTGATGAAACACACTGGTCTCCTTATTCAACCCCAACACGGTCGGTCTGGCTACACAACACTCCAACTGCCCGCCTCGTGCGCGTGTATGGCGTCAGTGTCTTCGCCCAGCCACAAGTGGTGCACGCCTACCAAGTGACTTGATCCTCGATCACGCCCTCATCATCCATTGGTGAAATCGCCCACAGCCACAGTGTGGAGCAGACCCCGCTTGCCCTTGAACACGTACATGAAGGCCGCCATGTGCACGGCCCACACGCCGGCGAAGAGCCACCAAAAGGCGTGCAGCCCGCGCACGAGCGTGCAGAGCGGCGACTCCCGCGGCAAGGCCTAGCGTGTTGAGGTTCCCTCCCCTCATTCTCAGTCCAGTGCAGATAGCGGCGACTCGCGAGGCACACTCTGCAGACCGCGTGCACCGCCGATGAGGCGAGCATCATCACCGAGATCGCGCCCAGCTGCACGCCAAAGACCTGTCCGGCGGGGGTGACGTAGGGTAACAAGGTCAGCTTCTCCACGCACACACACAGTGGTGGCGCATAAGGGCAGGCAGTCCTCGCAACTCCACACACCCATACACGGCACACAAAGTGCGGCAGGCGTGTGGAACGAGGCCGGGCCCCTCCTCCCTCCAGTACCAAGAAAACGAGGGGCGCCTGGTGGAAGAGCATGGATGCCAATCGGCTGCATGTCGTGCAGGTGCGTATAGAGCAGCGTGCCCAGCGCCGCGAGCACCGCTGGGTCGTGTAGTTGCCGCGCCGCCGCAACGCGAGGCAGTGCGCCGTTGCACGCGCGGGCGGTGATCGGGTGCGCCGCCATCGAGGCGAAGAGGAGCGAGGCGAGCGCCCAGATGGTCGCGTGCACCTTGTTGTAAAAGGTGTGGAGCGGCAGCCGGAAGGCGACGTACGAGAACATCGCCAGCGTCGCAATCAGTCCGAGGCTCGCGTGCTGCACGCGGATGACCAGCGCGCCGCCGTCGCCGTGCAGAATGTAGTGCGACGCGCGGCATAGCCCAACTCCGGCCGCAATATGCCCCCAGTAGGAAGTGTCCACGTGCAGGCGCGACACTTGGTGCACGATTGATGCAAGGAGCAGCACGAGCCCGACCGTCATGCAGCCGCGCCTCGCGAAGAGGATGACAGGCAGCAGAATCGCCGACACCAGCAACACGTAGGTCGCACGGTACGCCTCGGACGAATCCTCGGTGAGCGCCCAGTTGCCAAACTCCATACCTCCAGGACGAAGGTCAGCACGGGGGAAGCGGAGAGCTTCTTCCACACGTGAGCGCTGTTCACGAAAACACAACCCCGCGCGCGCTCGCTGTTCAGCTAGCGCGAAGGTGTCTCAAAGTGGTCTCAAGTGTCTCGAAACGTGTCTCAAACTCGAATCGTCGATCGAATCATAATAATGTGTATTTCACACAAAATGGAGCTAGGCTAGGGTTGCGCAGCTATGAACAGGAGCGAGTTCGCGCTGCGCTAGGCTCAGACGGCGTGTTTCGCGCTGCGCTAGGCTCAGTACGGCGAGTTCGCGCTCTGCACCGCTACTCCGCTAGCGGCAGGCTCTCTTGCGGAGAATTTCTCTCTCGGCTGCGTTGGCTCGCCAAAGTCTTTGTTATCGATGGCGCTGGGTCCGCTGACTGGGGCGGGCGTGGGTGTGCGTGTTTTGTAGAGAAGCAAAAACGCACGTCGTCCGGGTTTTGTCGTGTGCGTCGAGCGTGCGGGCGGAGAGGCGAGGCTGAGCCTGTGGCGAGAGCTAAGACAGAGCAGTGCGAGAGTTACACACGACACACACGACACGACAGGGACACAGACACAGACACAGACACACACTGCGCTCCCCTCAGCGGGTAGGGAGACGCGAACCCGACGGAGTCCGGTGGTGGGGGCCCACGCAGCCAGCCCCTGCGTTGCAAAGGTTGGTGCTGAGCCGCCGCCGCCGCTCGCTCTCGAAAAGCGTCGCGCTGCTGCCCGTTCCCGGAGCGACGAGCGCGAGTTTGGTGGCCAGGGCCTTGCCTGAAGGGGGGCGGGGCAAGGGGGGAGAAGATGAGGACGTCACCGAGCGGGGGCTGCCGGGAAGGTGGTGGGCGGGGCGTGGATGCACCTTAAACGGGCGAGTAGCGGGAAGAGCGTCGATACTCCGGCGGAAGAGTGCTCCCCCGCCGCCCCCTGGGTCACCCCGAGTGACCTCGCAGCCCACGCCGTGAGGCGCTGCTGTCAGGGGACTGTTGGGGGCGCGCAAAGCCGCTCGGAAGAGACGGCCAGGAGCCAAGGAGCGGCCGGAGCGCGACGAAAGACCGAGGGGAAGTGGCCGCCGCATACAGCCTCCGGCGGGCCTCCGGCGGACGCCAGCGGCGTGGCGCTGCGCGCGACCGGCCCCTTCTCGGTGCGCTGCAGGACGCCCTCGCTCAAACGCGCACCTGCCGGGTCGGGGCGGTCACGGGACCGGCTGAAATTGCGGCCGCAGCTGCTTGGGGGGGTGAGGATGGCCGGGCTTGAACGGCTTCTCGCGAGGTACCCGCATCCCGACGCAGCAGCGATTTCGCACCCTCGAATTTTTCGGGAGCGCAGGCGGCGGCGGCGGCGCGCCGCGGCGAAATTTCTTTTTTTCGCGCTCGCGCCGGCGGAGCCAAAGGAGCTCCGCGGAGCCGCCAGGCGCCCGCCCCGGCGGTGAGCGACGCGCGCCAGGCGCCCGCCCCGGCGGTGAGCGACGCGCGCGTCGCTCACCGCCGAGGGCTCGGCGCGCCTCGTTGTAGATCGTGTCAACTCGCACGTCCGGTGTGTCTTCCGGCGCGAGGAGGGCGTTCCGGTGGCGCCGTCGGACGATGCCTGCAAGTGTCTCAAGCATAATAACGCGAGTCGGCGTCGCCCCAATGCGCCCCTCAGCCATTTGTCCTCTGCCAGTGGTCAGACGGAACCCGGTGATGCAGAGGCGGCGGTATTCGTGGACTAGCTGCTCCCTCCCCATGCCCCGTACCTCCTCTAGCACGGCTTCATCCAGGGTCGTGCTTTCCAGGACTGCGCGGAGTACCGCCTCGAGGGTCAGTGTGGTGTATGGACATTCGAGGGCGAGGTGGCGTGTCGTTTCGATTGCTCTCACGCCGCCCAGTAGGCCGCACAGGTCGCACAGCCCCCGTCGACGTGGCTTCTTACATCGTCGCGGTCCAACCGGTAGCGCATCAGTCAACACTGAGTACGCCGTGTCTGACGTCGGCCGTGATAGGGACCTGTCGTGGATAGAGCGGAAGATAGACCGCGCTATCTTTCGTTCATCAGAGGCTGTGCTCTCGCCATTCCCCTCTCCCCCCCCGTCGCCGTCGCCATCGTCACTGTCGCCCTCGCCGTCACTTGGCTCATCTCTGCCTCCGTCCCCACCTACGTCGCTGCCGTCGGAGGGGCCCAATGCGGCGGTAAAGGCGTCTAGGAGTGGGCCAGCGACTGCCTCCTGCGCTAGCCACTCATCCTCCTCCTCGGATGCGTCCCGCCATCGCACCTTGTACTCCGGCTCCCCTCGCTCGATGTTTGTGCGCTGCGCCAAGATGTACTCGATTTCCCACTCTCGGTTCGTGTCGTCTTGGATCGCGCGCCCTTCTCGTTCGGTATGAGCCAATAGATCATAGAAGCGCGTCGTGGCCGTTGCATCGTCCGGCGGGCGGGATGGGTCAAGGGTACGCATCGGTCGGTAGACCCGTGAGAGGTGTAGCGATGCGAGGTGCTTGACGGCCAGTTTCACCAGCGGCACCGCGGCGCGCACTCGCGTGGTAGGCGCGTACTGCACTGCCCACCTGGATGGGCTAGCCGCAATCTCCCATCCTTCGCTGGTCGTGGCGGCCCGCTGCATGAGGGCCGCCCTTATTACCGGTCCGCCGCACACCAACCTCTTGAGTTTCCGTGGCGCCCCCTTTTCTGCCCGGGCTCGGCGCGACTCCGGCCCCCACTCCTCGCGTGTGACGCTCGCAGAGGATTGTCCACCGTCCTCCCATACCTCCACTTCGCACCATCCGCCCGCGCCTCTTTCCCTCACCGTTGCGAGGCTCGGCGCTCCGGTCTCATCTTGTAATCGTGCTGGTGGTGATGAAGAATGAAAGTTCGCAGAACGTGTTATCTCCATCCTGCACCCCTTGGCCATGCACATGAGTCGCCTCGCTCTCCTCGCCATCCCGGCAGCCGTGGCCTTCTCGTCCACTCCGGAGTCAATGGTCACGGTCAAGGGAATCACCACGGATTGCGACGGTGCAAAGAGCGCAGCCCAGCCCGCGCCTCGGGTTGTCGTCTGCGCCTTCACATCTGTTGTACCCCGCGTCCCGCAGCCAGTGCTTCAACCTTCACCCCTCCAACCCTCAGGCAGCCAGTGCTTCAACCGTCTTCACCCCTCCATCCCGATGGCGGCGATGGCCGAGCCCGACCAGGTTATCCTGTTCGACACGCCACAGGCGCGCGCATCGCACTCTGATCGCCAGCTTCGCCGTTGCCGCCGCCTCCACTCGAAGCTGATCGCCACCCCCTGACCACAGGCCACCTCCGACTACAAGAACACCTCCTGCACCTCGTGCAACTTCGACTTTGAAAGGAACACCAAGCACATTCGCACGCTGCACCAGCTCGCGGGCCCAGTCGGCATCGCAGGTGCCGTCGCGGGCGACAAGATTGCCATCACGATCCTCGACATCGAAGCCAAGACGCAGGGGTGGAACCACGCCGCTCCCAACCTTGGCATGCTGTCCGACATGGTCACGGCGGGCACTTTCAACTGGTGGATGCCCAAGGGGCCCAACCCGGCCAAGCCTGATTGCTGGGTGAGCGAGCTGTTTCCCGACGTCGAGATCCCGTACAACCCCTTCCCCGGCATTGTCACCGTGCTACCCAACATGGAGATCGTACAGCGCGTGAAGGCACGCCTAAACTCCACCCCCTCTCCCGCGCGCACGAGTTCCTCTGTCAGAAGGTGCATGTTGTACTGTCCGCAGGAGCGCGAGATCACCGTCCTCGAGGCGGGCGGCACGGCGCAACCTGCCGGCTCGGGCACAATGGGTCTGACCGGCGACATGCCCTCGGAGCGACAGTCGCGATCTTCATCGAGACCCACCTTCCACATGCGCAGAGCTCCAAGTATGTGTGTTAGGCCTTTCCGTCGAGCGTGTGCGGCGAGGGCGGGTCCGACCCCGAGAACTGCCTGCGGACCATCGCTCCCGATGTCTACTACGGGAACGAAGACTCGCAGGCTTGCGCCTTGGCCCATGCAACCTTGTTAGCCTCGTCACCTCTAGCCCCAGCCTCGACCCCTCTCGTGCGTGCGCGCGCAGCGCATCACCGTTGGCAACACCCTCGTCATCGAGTGTTTCGTTGACGGCTGCGGCATCGGCATCGGTGATGTGCACGGCGCACAGGGCGATGGCGAGGTCTCGATCACCGCCATCGAGATGGAGGCCCTCGTCAAGGTGTGATCCGCCACGTCTCGCGGCCTCGATCTCTTTTTGCCAATCTAAACATACGCTCCCCACCAATCGCGCGCCTCCTGATGCCGCCGCGCACCGCAGGTCAAGGTCAAGCTCATCAAGCCGGACGACCCGATGTATCATCTGCCCTCTCCGACGACTCTCGGCGCGTCGCTCAACCCGCTGCACTCGTCGCCGTTCGTCTCGTTCCACGGCTTCGGCGACAAGCCGGAACCCATCCCCGATTTTGCCGGCGAGGCCAACTTTCCGTGGCCGATCCAGCAGCACATCACCTTTGGGGAGGTCATGAACAACATGACCTTTGTCGCTGACAACCTGCAGGTTCTCCCATGTCCACTCCCTCCGACAACGCCGCACCTATATCATTTCGCCTCTCCATGTCTCACGCACTCCCACGGCCCTTGCGCAGATGAGCGGGCGCAACGCACTGATCAAGTGCATCAAGTTCCTGCACGACGTCCTTGACTACTCGTTTAACCAGGGCCTCATCCTCGCGTCGGTCGCCGTCGACTTGCGCGTCGCCCAAGTCGTTGACAAGCCGCAGGCTTCGATGGAGGCCTACCTGCCGCTCGACATCTTCACGGGCGAGGCGAAAGCCAAGATGATGGCTGCCGTTGGCATGTAGCCACACATAAGAGAGCCGTCACAACGCTGCCTCGAAAGGGGAGCAACGGTGTGTTCTATTTTGTATCTTGCCGTGCTTCTGGCCCTGGATGCCTGTGCGCTTACTCTCCTCTACGGATTGTGTCTTTTGACCGTGTTGGATTGTGCGCACATTATCTGCCCTGTTTACACTTGAGTATCCTGTGGCTCGCGGTGTAGCGCTGTACTTTTGTCACTCTGACGCTGTAGAGTACCTATCTCCGCCCCCCAGCGCCGTGTCAGTGTCAGGGCGGGCCGGCAGACAGAGATCAGACTAGAGTACTAGTACTACGGAGGTACCTCTAGTAACTAGAGTTCGCGTGGGCCCACTCGCTTGCTTTTTTTTATTTCGCTCCAGTTGATCTTACAGGCAGTAGACACCGGAGGGCTATCGAAGCCTTTCCAACGTCCAGGGAGCTGGCGTGGGCCATGGCGTGGGCCCCCCGGGGGTCCCCCACCGCGTGTCGCGTCCCAAGAATGGTGTCTGACACCCTCGCCTGACATTGTTTTTGCTATGGGTGTGTTTTTACTATTGACAGTTGACTTTCACCCCACGGGGGGGGGGGGGGGGGGCGAAACACCGCCCGGCCACTGGTGCGCTGGGACTGGGGGCACCAGTGCGGCACGCAGACATACAGACACACAGACACGCAGACAAGACACACAGACACACACGCAAACATTCAAAGTGCAGCACCGGTCCAGTGGGTGGGTGAGTCTCGGTGAGCATGAACCTGCACCTCACTTTCTTTCTTTCTAGCTCGAGGGCGCGCCAGTTCCTGTTGTGGACCACCGTCGTGAAGCGCCGCTGCGCCTGGTGAGGAACTCGTTCTTGGACGTGAACTCGGGGAGGTCCAGCAGCTCCTTCTCCAAACAAAGAAGAGGCGACGGGAAGAGCCGGCAGACAGAGGATGCAGTGACGTGACCCCTCTCCCCTCACACACACACACACACACACACACACACACACACACACACACACACACACACACACACACACACACACACACACACACACACACACACACACACACACACACACACACACACACACACACACACACACACACACACACACACACACTACCGCGCACGCCACGCACACACACACACCCCACACACACCGCTCACCCACACGCACTGGGACTTGCACTTTTAATGCCGTGGGGCTCCTGTCGTCTAAGCACCACGGTGCTCGCGGATTCGACCATCCGCCTGACTACTACTCCGACGACGGCTTCTTCTTTGGTATTGCTAAAAGTCTCTCCTCTCTCTCTCTCTCTCTCTCTCTCTCTCTCTCTCTCTCTCTCTCCATCCATCCAAGGGAGGGAGCGATGGATGGACGTACACGGGAAAAGGTACTTTTTCTGCATCACGTTCGCCGCCTTCCGTTGGATCTCGCGGATCCCCTTCCCGAACCCGAAATGTATGTAGGAAGGTGAAGAACAGTCAGGCTCGGACTTGACACCATCTTCCTTGTCATCCATGGGAAAAGAATTCTTCTAATACAAGCCCCTCTCACAGCAGACTGGCACGAACTAGCACCACAAAAGGCACAGCAGACAACGGCCCCTTATGGGCCGTCGAAGAGGCCGTCAAACTCCTCGGGAAAAGAAATCCGTTCCCGCCGGGTTTGAACTGTGGCGTTCCGTCCTCTCTGTGTGGTGGCTGCCTTGCTGCCTCCCGCTGCCGCTGTGCCGCATGGCGCTTCCGTTGCCGCCTGCGTACCCGCCGCCGTTCGCGCCGCCGCCATACTCGCCACCGCCCTCTCCGCTCTCGCCTTTGCCGCTGGCGCCGCCGATGCCGTCCCTGCCGCCTCCCACGATTCCACCGTCCCTGCCGCCTCCGCCACCGCCGCCCACGCCCACCTCGCCCTCGCCGCCGCCTCCTTCCGCCTCGCCGTCGCCGCCGCCTTTGATCAAGGCGCAGATCGGCCCGGAGCCGGACGCCGTCCAGCTGCTCGGCCACCGCATCCCCGTCGCCTCCCTCGCCGCCGGCGCGCTGGGCGGTCTGGTAGCCGGCCTCGTGCTGCTGCTATTTGGCTGCGCCTGCGCCTGCCTCGCTCTTCGGCGCGGCCCCCGCGACGAGCTCGAGGAGGAGCCACCCGCCAGATCTTCCTCGTACCGAAGGTCGACAGTCCGCCACCTCGGCATCGATGTGCAGGGCGAGCCGCGAGCGGCGCAGCCGGGCATGGCGGGCTGGGAGCCGCGTGGGCGTCTGGCTCCGGGCATCGGCTCTCCCCCCCGCCCTCCCCCCAGCCTCAAGCACGCAGAGTCCGCACCTCTCGTCGGCTGGACCGTGTCTGGCCCAGTCATCGGCTCGCGCGCCGCCATGTCGCTCGAGGAGCGCTTCCCGGCGCCGTTGCGGCCGTTCCACCCCGGCACGCCCCCTCGGGCAGCGGGTCTCTCTCTCTCTCTCTCTCTGAGTACTGATTAATCAGTGACCAGCAATCAAATAGGCAAGCCCATCGGCCAGCGGGGCTTGCCACCAGTCGGGGAGGGGCCGGCAGGGCTCGGGGTTGCCGCCTCGCCGCCGCAGGTGCTCCCTCCTCCCTCGCTTGCTGCTATCCCTCGCTCCCTCCCTCCCCCCCATCCCTTCCTGCTCGGTCACCCCTCTCCCTCCTCTGCTCTAAAAACACCCTCCTCTCTCCCTCGCCCTCTCCCTGCCTCGCACACCTCCGACGCTCTGCGGCTCGCAGGCAGCCCAGCGGCGCTGGCTCAGGGCGAGCATGGGCGGCAGCCCGCCTCGGCCGCCGCTCACCTCCGCGGAGGACCGCGCCGCCGCGCTGTTCTCTCTGAGCGCCGCGAAGCACAGGGCGGCGCCGGCAGCAGCAGCACCGCCGACACAGATGCATGACCAGGCCGCGGACACCGCGGCGAGCACGGGGAAGCGGCGCCGCTGAGCAGGCCGCAATACGCCGCGGTTGTCGGTGTTGTTGGGTGGAGGCGATGGTGGCGGTGGCGGTGGCGGTGACGTGCACCTCTGCACCATTGTGCGCCCGGGGGGTCAGAGCGGATGCGTTGTAGGCCAGGGAGTACGGCCAGGGAGTACGGCCAGGGAGTACGGCCAGGGGAGTATGGCCAGGGAGTATGGCCAGGGAGTATGGCCAGGGGTCTACGGCCAAGGGGGTACGGCTAGGGAGTACGGCCAGGGGAGTACGGCCTGGGGAGTACGGCCAGGGGAGTACGGCCAGGGGAGTACGGCCAGGGGCTCTGGGCATGGGCATGGGCATGGGCATGGGCATGGGCATGGGCATGGGCATGTTAGTTCCTCCAGACTTGAAAGATAGATAGATAGACAGAAAAGCGGTGGGAGCTGGGAGATGGCAGATGGTTTGGCGCCGACGGACCGCCCTCTCCACCACCCTCGCCCAGGGATCTATCTACAACGCTGTCTCAAGGTCCGTCGTCCGACAGGTACCGGGCACCGCCTCGGTACAAAATGCGCCTGATCTACAGAAAAAACTGCGCGGCGCTACCACCCGATTGTGAATCCGGATGGGTCGTTTTTGCGCCCTACCCGCACGATCACATCTTCCCTATCCATCCATGAGCTCATCCCTGGCTCCCATCCCCACAGCCACTCGCCTGCGCGACAACGCGGCGCGCATGGCAGCGGACAGAGACCAGCGCCGCACCGCAGAGGAGCTCGAGCTCCTGAATGCCGACAGCGTCGACTTTCCCCAAAACATGAATCGGACGGCGATAGACGACCTCTGGGACAAGACTCCAATGTTTGACGAGGACGCGGAGATGCCATTCTTTGTGGACGAGGCGGCGGTGATCAAGCGGGTGGCGATCAAGCGGAAGACGGTGACGCCAAGGCCAGCGGTCGGCGCGGTCCCCGCGCCGCAGGCAGCGCCGCCGATCGGCATACAGAAAGCAGCGATGACACGCTCGCAGGTCTGGGGCGGCGTGATGGCGTCGTGGTCGCTGGTCTCGCCGCAGTTTCTGGTGGTAGCATTTGCCTTCTCCGCCGGCTGGATCGACGCGAACTCCAAGACGCGCTTCGGCACCTTTGGCTCGCTCATGACGGGCAATGTGATTGACATGTCGATGGCCATTGCGCGGGTGCGCAGCCTCGCTGCTCGCAGCCTCGCTGCTGGACTCCCCGCGGCGGCCTTTCGCCTCCTCGCCTCCTCGCATCTCTGCCTCTCGCCTCACCTCTGCCTCTTGCTCCCCCGCCTCAGCTCGACTGGAAGCATGCCTTCCTGTCTGGGTTCAACATCTTCGCCTTTCAGGTTGGCGTGGTCGCGGACCTGATCATCGCCAACCTCGCCGCTGCCAGGAGGCGCGTGCAGCAGCTCGGCGTCAGCTCGCCCGCGCCAATGCAGGACGTGGGGCTTCTGCAGCCGGAGGACTTTCAGTCGCACATGGGGCGGGGTGAGCGGCGTCCCCTGCTCGCAGCTAGCGCACCAATGAGACAGCGAGCCCGCACCACCCCCTAGCTTGCGCGAATCGCTAGTACTGGGCGTGGCGTTGAGGAAGCGTGGAGGGCCTGGCTGCCCCTCCCATGTCCCACGGCGCCGGGTGGTCTCTGCGAGACCGCCACCCCCCTGCTCCGGGGCCCCGTGCGAGCGGTACTCGCGCCGTGCATGGGCCACCACCTGGTGGCCAGCCCAGCGCCCCGCGCCACCCCTGCGCACAGGCTACTCGACCATCGTCATCTGCGGCTTCCTCGTCTGGCTCGTCTTCCTAGAAGCAGAATACGTGTTCATGTATCCCAACCAGCACTCGAGAGACACGCATTCCACTGTATTCGACTGTATTCCGCTGTGTTCACTGTCATCCTCTCCGTTGTGTCCATGCGGTGCTCTCAATACGCTGCACCATACCGCCTTCCCGCCCTCATGTTGGCGTACTCAGCACGTAGGCTCGAGCTGATCGCCCTCTTCGAGAACCGCGAGTACCCCTCCACCGATCGGCGCATCCTCGGCGCCTTTTGCGCCGCTGCGATGGGCGCGCAAAACGCGTGGACCACCCGCTCCTCCCTCAAGACCTCCACCGTCATCGTCGGCACCAACCTGCAGAAGATCGCCGAGATCCTGTACCTGCGCGTGCGGCGGAAGCTGGAGGGCTGCTGCTCGAGCTCCGTCCCCGAGCTGGGCAGGTGGGAGATATGGGGAGATATGGGGAGATATGGGGAGATATGGGAGGCTGCTCGAGCGCCGTCCCCGAGCTGGGCAGGCGGTTCCCGTCGATCAACAACTTTCTCCCCGAGAGGCAGGACACGGGGGAGAGGAAGGCGCCCCTGCTGCGCAGCCTGCCCTCCATCGTCAGAGAGGTGTGCCGCCCCACTCCCCTCCCGCGGCCCAAGGCGGACGCAGGGCAACCCCCCTCCCCCCCCCTCACCCTTGAGCCAGGCGGTCGCCAAGCACACCGACGTGCGGAACCAAGAGTCCGCCCTGCTCACTCGCCTCGCCTTTTGCTGCGTCGCGTACGCCGTGGGCGCCGTCGGCGGCGCCGAGGCGGCGCGCGTGTGCTGCATAGGTAGTGAAGCCACCGCCGACGAAGCGGCGTCCTCACGATGTCGATGGCCGCTATATCTACTGCATAGGGTCGCTCCTGCCGGCGGCGCTGCTCATCGGACTCGCGCTACAGCCGTGGAGATGACGAGAGCGATGGAGGGACCGCCAAAAGCGGGGCACTGTGATACGCCGCGCACAGGGGAAGGTATAGGCAAGCATTCGCTGCAGCCCTCCCGTTGAGGGTGGGGGTGGTCCGTCGGCGATACACATACATGCCGCCAGGATGGGCCGGAATGAAAAGGTAAAAGGAGCTCCATAGGAGCTCGCAGTTCCCCGCGCACGCCGCAGGCACTCACTCTCACGTCTGGGGGGGCGACCCCCCCATCTTTGTTTACCGAATGCGTCTCTGGATTAGAGTGCGTCTAGTAGGCCTCCTACTTAGACGCTCGCTGTCCTCGGTATGCTCGAGCATCCTAAGATGCGCGAGTCCATATTAGTTGCTCCGCGCATCCCGAATTGCTCGCGGCATCTCCGATTGGCGTTGCTGTCTCAAAAGACGCGCCGTGCATACTGTGAACAGCGCGTGTCTCAGAAGACGCGCGCATATTTTGAACAGCGCGTGTCTCAACAACTCAAGAAGTACACGCACGTTACAAAAGAAAACAACACTCTCGCGGTGTGGCGAGCGCTGCGCGGCGGGCCGTGCCCCCGGCTGTGCGCCGCGGCCGCCCCCGGCTGTGCGCCGCGGCCGCTGCACTACTACTCGCACACCCGCGGCCCGCCCACCCGAGCACTCGTGGGTGGGCGCCCTATAGCCTCTCCGCGCAACGTGCTGGGGCACGGACAGCGGCTCTCACGTCTGGCAGCGGCAGCAGGCCCACCGCTGCACCGACTCACACTGAACAGCACGCACAGGACAGTCACAGAACACTGCCCCTGACGCCACTCACGGCCACGGGCTACTCAGACTTAATCACAGGCACCTCGCTTAGCACTCCGTGCACGCGGCTGCCGGTTGCCGTTGCCAGCGCCGCTTCCTGCCCAGATCAAACACCTGCGACGAGGCGGAGGCGATGAGCGGCCCACGGTCGCCGTGAGAGCGCGTGGCGGGCGACGGCTCACCGATCGAGCGGAAGCGGTCGCGCTGCTCGAGAGTGGGGGCGGCGGCGAGGCGGGCAAGCCACCCGCAGATCCCCAGAAGGACGCCGTCGCGAGGTCGAGGGCGGGCGGCGGGGGCGGCGAGGGCGAGGCGCGAGGCGCGAGGCGGTGTTGGCGGCGGCGGTGGCGCGGGCGGCGGCGGTCACGGAACGGGGGCGAGAGGGTGACGGCGAGCAAGACACCCGCGCGCGCTGCGCGGTCGCCGTTCTGACTCACATGCCTGCGGACAGCGCCGACGGGTGGTGAGGAGGGCGGCGAGCCGGCGGGCACGGTGTGCGCGCGGTCGCCGCGCGCTGGTGGGCGACAGCTCACCGAGCGAGGAGCGAGGAGCAGGAGCAGAGCTCGGGATGCCCGGTCCCTCAAACGCCAAGTCAAGCAAGAAAAACGTCTGCCCAATGCTTTCTGGCGGTGAACTTCTTTTCTAGACCGCTAGGATTGAGAGCAGCCTCGCTCTCAATCCTAGAAGTCGAAGGATTGTGAGCAGCACTCCTCGCAATCGTAGCATCTCTGTGCGACTGTGAGCACCCACGCTCGCAATCCTAACAAAATCTCTCTCTCTCAATCCTACGTCTTCTTTCTTTCTAGGACTAAGAGCAGCTCCGCTCCCAAGGTGACTGGTGACGCCTACGACTACTACCAGCGCGCTCACAATCCGAGCAAAGTCTAGGATTGCGAGCAGTTGGCTCACAATCCTAGCAACATGCCTCCGGTTGCGAGCAGGAGCGCTCGCAATCCTAGAACTTTCGCCGATTGCGAGCGACACCGCCCACAGTCCTACGACTTCTAGGATTGCGAGCGGGTCCCCTCGCAATCGGTGCGATCACTGTTTGGATTGTGAGGAGACCCTCCCGGCGCGCTCACTCACAAGCGCTCGCGGCTGGAGCGATTGGGAGCGCCCTCTGTGCGACGCTAGCAATCCTTGGATCTTGGGTACGATTGTGAGCGCCGCCGCTCATAATCCTACAAGATGTAGGATTGCGAGCGCTACTGCTCGCAATCGGAGGCATGTTGCTAGGATTGTGAGCCAAGAGCTGCTCGCAATCCTAGACTTTGTTCGGATTGCGAGCGCGCTGGTAGTAGGCGTCACCAGTCACCTTGGGAGCGGAGCTGCTCTTAGTCCTAGAAGATGTAGGATTGCGAGCGTGGGTGCTCACAGTCGCACAGAGAATGCTCCGATTGTGAGAGGAGTGCTGCTCACAATCCTTCGACTTCTAGGATTGAGAGCGAGGCTGCTCTCAATCCTAGCGGTCTAGAAAAGAAGGTTCACCCTTTCTGGCCGACTCTCGGAAGTACGCTGTCTTCCGTGTCTAGGCGCACGCCCACGCCCTCAGCCTCGAACTGGCCCCGCTACCTGCCGCGCAAACTGGTTGGTGGGGGGGAGGCGGCTTTGTCGTTTTAGTTAGCACTGCTGCTGCAGGTCGCCGTCGGATCGTCGTAAGCAGTGGCCAGTGCATGCAACTTTGCGTGCGCCCAGAGCTCGTGGCGCGAGCAGATGCATGCGCGGTGCTGAGAACCTGGTTCTCCAGGAGGGGCAGGCCGCGAGGAGAGACCTCACGCGAGCACTCAAGGCAGGGCCCCCAGGGGAGGGTGCCGAGAGATCACACCGCCTTTTCGTGCTCCCTGGTGGATAGCCTGGTCCCCCCTCGGTGCCCGGTGCACCCGACACACGGTGTCTCCTGAGACGCTTCCCTGTCCAAGTATAGTAAAATGTGATCTAGTATGCAAGTGCCATCTCAGAACAGCTGTGCATCTATAGATGCTTGTGGCGTCGTCTAAGATGGAACGCGCAACAAAAGACACGGCGCGGCCATCTCCAGGACAGCCGTCGCATCCTAGAATGCCCTGTGTACCCGAGACACATGGTATCTTTGAGATGAAAAGTGCGTCCTAGAATGCGTTTTTGCATTCTAGGATGCATCGGTAAACAAAGATGGGGGGGTCCCCCCCCCAGACGTCACAGGTGCACGAGGCAGTCCGGTCTCCTCTCGTCCGAGACTCCTCTCTCCTGGGCCAGAGTCTCCAGTGTACCAGAGCCAGACCCCTGGAATATGTGTGTCGTGGCATTTTGTTACAATCTCCCCCATCGCCCTCCCTTGGGGGGATGTTCCCCCCCCCCCCCCCCCCACCCCGCGAAAACATGCGCACTCTCCCAATCCAAACAGCGGTTCCGGACCCCCAGACAGCAAGCAGCACGAGCCACGAAAAAGGTCGGAGCCGAGGCAAAGACTCTCACCGCGGCTCCGGCCTACTCCGTCTCGCGCGCGATGGCGAAGCCCAAGACGCAGTGGCCAAAGTCGAGCGCCGCGATGCCGTTCGTGGCTCCTGCCGAGTCGAGGTGGTACCGCTCGTGGATCTCGTAGATCGAGAGGACGAGGAGCGCCGCCCGCGCGCGGGCCGCCGCGGGGAAGAGCGAGTGGCTTGCCGGCGACCACGGCGCCGCCGCCCGCCGGACCAGCGCCGCCGCCTCGCCCTCGCCGCCCGCGGCGCGCCGCAGCGGCGTCGGCTCGCCCTCGTGCAGGCTTGCGCCGCTGCGCAGGAGGGAGGTGGCGCGGGCGGCGGTGAGGGTCTCAAGGTGCGCGAGCGGCGTCCAGCCGCGGCTGGCGACCAGCCAGGCGGCGAGGTCGGTGTGGCCTTGGCTGTTTGCGGCCTCCTCGGGCGTGCCGAAGGGCGTAGCGGCGCGGGAGGCGCCGTAGGAGGAGAGGAGCTTGGCGACCTCAAGGTGGCCCTGGTAGCACGCAGCGAACAGCGGTGTGGCGCCTTGCTCATCGGCCTGGTCGATCGCCGCGCCAGCCTCGAGGAGCAGCCGGGCGATCTCGACGTGACCCTGCTGGCTCGCAATGAACAGCGGCGTGCAACCATCGTTCGCCGCTTGGTTGATATCCTTGATTTACTTGGACCTGACTTG